TGGCTGAGTATTTGCAGTCTCAGAGTTCAGTAGAGGAAGAAAGCGGAGACGTCACATGGACAGATGCAACCAGCACTAGCTGCTACACCACTTGTCACACATTAACGTAACTGGTTACTACAAGCTAACCTGGTTAGCTACATGGTTCGCTTTTGACCTATAATACATTCGGAACGGCAACTCTGCAAGACTGAAACGCTAGATTCATAGACGGTGCAAAACGGAAACGCCAATACGGTCACACAGTTATCGTGGCCTCTTCCTGCATCCAGCTGGCAGGCTATTTTGGCTAACTGGCGAAGCCTAACAGATTTTCCGTTGGCTAGCGTCTGGCTAGCCAGCCAGCTAGCTAGCTAATAACATCGCTAACGCTAGCTAGCGAGCTGTAATAACTTGCGTCATGGATGAACTTGTCGTGGAAGTAAGGGGAACAAGTGGGGCCTTTTATAAGGTAAGCGTTGTTGAGGGTTGTCATCTCAGTTACCACACCTTGCACAAACGTTAGGCTAACTACAGGGTGTATTTCCTAAGAAAATACAAGCGTGATTGCTGTAAGCTGCTGCCGTTCCTGTTGCTGCACGAAGAACCAGTCAGCTGAATAATGTAGCAAAAGTATATTTCTTGCTGTAATCATCAGGGAGTAGAAGATTGTGGGGATTTTTATGAGTTAGAGCTGCGTATCTAACTGACTACATGCTACAGTATATTGAGCACTTCCCTGTGGTTGCTTGCATACCAAGCAAGACTTCTTTTGCATGTGTTTGTAAGAAATTGGTCGTGACCATCTTTCAAAAGGAAAATTCATAATCAGTAATCACATCTTATATTACCAAGCTGTATACAAGCTATTGTTGTCATACATATGCTTAATAGTTATAAGTAGAACCATGTTTGTTGCTGCAAGTATGTGAAAGTTGTAGAAATGTGTAGTTATTAATATAGTATTTTACTGTACCGCCCCCTACAGGTAAAACAGAGGGACACTGTGCAGGCTTATTCATTATCGCCTTTTGTGCAGATGAGCCAAACTCGGTCTCAATTGGATGAAACATTCAAGAATTATAAAACTTTTGTTTATTGTAGCGCCACCCAGTGGTGAAACACAATTAAACTATACTGACTCGTTCATTATCGAATTCTGTACAAGATATCCAGATTTGGTTCGAAATGGATGAAGTATGCAAGAATTTTAATTTTTTGTCCTCTAACACCCCCTAGCTGTGGAGCGGAATGAAACTACATGGGCTCATTCATTATCACAGTCTTTACAGATGAGCCAAATTTGGTTTCAATTGGATGAAGCATTTGAGTTTTTGCAGTTTTCTCATAAAAGGGCACACCCGCAAAAGCTTGTTAACCAATTATAGACAAACGATAAGTTAGGGCTGGGCGATATGGCCTAAAAAAAAAATCCCCGATTTTTTTCACAAAAAATCCGATTTACGATTTAAAGTGTTTTTTTTTTCCCCTTACTTAAAATAAATATGCAGATGACAAAGAAATTGTTCAAAACAAATATTACTTTATTTTGTTTTGATTTTACCTTCTGGGATAAAAGTGCAATGAGAAAGAAACCAAAATACAAGATTGCTGGCCCTGCCATTGTAGGCAGTGAAAACAACATTACATAATATAATAATTGCCCCTGGGCAATTATTTTGCCTTTATGGTCGTCGGGAAAGTAAGCTGTTTGGAGGCCGACGCTTCGCAGAGTCCAGTCATTGTTAATGAAATGCACAGTTAAACTCATATAGGGCTGCATCGTACGACTAGACCATAAATCTGTTGTTGCGGAGTAAAACGACACTCCTTCCAGCTCCCTAGTGATCCTTTGGCGTGTATTGTTATATAGCTGAGGCAAGGCAACTTCAGAAAAATATTTGCGGCTTGGTAAAACATACCTGGTGTCCAAAACTTTCAGCATGTGATTAAACCCCGGATTTTCCACAGTATATATAGGCACCATATCTTTTGCGATATACATCGCACCAGATTCTGTAATCGCTTTCCATCGGGCCCCATTCTTATCATATGGGATACCATTTGTAATTGTTTGTAAGACTGTGGGTTGTTTATTGGCTGGTGTACTTTGGCTCCCACTGTCTCGTTCGTTTTCGTAAGGTGCGACATCTCTCCCACTTGGCAGCATGCCTCTGTTTGAGGTGCTGCATTAAATTGGTCATACTGCTACCTTTGGTAGTAACAGACTTTAAACACACTTTGCTGCAGGATGTTGTTTGTTCTGCGTCTGACACGGCAAAACCGAACCAATTCCATATTACTGATGACACTGTGCCTTTTTTCTGAACGAGTTCTTCCCTGCTCGCTGCCATGCTATCTCTATGACAAACGCGCGGGGGGTGAGCTGAGCCCACTCGGAACTATGGGAGCCGAGAGGGGAGCATCGGCGGGTGTTAAAGATAAAACTGATTTTCATTCAAACAAACAGATGTAAACTACACATTTGAGTTGATCAATAAAATCGATTTATCGCCCAGCCCTACGATAAGTGATAGTGTAAAGGAAATGCACAGGGCGTGTTCAGGGTCGGCCACCTATGGTATGTACCAAGTTTGGTATAGATTGAAACAAATGTGTACAATAGAAAGCAAAAAAATTATTTTGGAAAAAATCAAGATGGCAGAGATTTTTTCATGATGTAAATGAGCATGGTTAACATCAGTCTCTTCAGCATCGTGCACTGAATTCGTAGACATCAGAATTTTTGTGCTGCGCCTCATGGTTACCAAGATGTTATCAATATCTTAAAGGCCGGCATTTCTGGTAATATCTAACCAAATGGTGGCGCTATAGCCACTATTTGTGAATATGTAAAGTATTTTACTGTGGTACAGCTGCACACCAAGTTTCAGTCCTTGCATTTATTGTTTATAAAATATTGATCATTTTACGATACTCCCATAGAGCACCCTTCAAAATAAAAATTCACAAAAATATTCAGACTAAATTAACTATAATTGTTAATGAATGAAGTAATTGCAAAGATCTCCTTATCATGCTTAACATTTTAGCAGTAGAACCATGTTTCTAGCTGTTAGCATTTTAGAATAGTAGCACATCAAATAACATAATGAAGAGCAAAGATAAGAGTTATAAACACTCTTTATGACACTAACATTAAATTGCCTTGCTGGACTAGCTAGGCTAATATCTGTGTATGTGGACTTCAGTGTTTCAGTCCAGCCTTCACCGAGATGTAGAGGCAGAAAATGTGTAAACAAAGCTAGTTCAGTGGGTAGAGCAGGGGTCTCCCGACCGGAGGGTCGGACGTTCGAATCCCAAGTGCCTGCAGTTGAAGTGTCCTTGGGCAAGACACTGATCCCCCAAGTTGCCCCCCTATGGTTAGAGCCATTGGTTGAGTTGGCGCCGCAGGTGGCTGCCTCGGTTCTGTACCGGAAACAAATTCCTTGTGTGTAACATACTTGGCCAAATAAAGGTGATTATCCTTGTTAACCCTGGGCTGCTGCTCGAAGCTCAGCACTGCTGGTTTAATTTAATGTAGGTGCTAAACCAGTGCAAGTGTGGTGGTGATTGTAGTCTTTTGTTATCTACACAATGGTAACAACAGGTGTCAAGAGTTGGTCATGGTTTGTGTTTTTCAAAGTGAATTTACAAAGATGGCAGCAAATTGGGGTGGTGTTTTGTATTACCTGTGTAGTACCCCAGTTCTTTAATTGGACAGCTCTGAATAATGAAGGAGTCCGCCTTTTTTCATCTAGTGCTGGTTTATTTTAACCACAAGCAAAATTACAAACACGACCCAGGTTGCTCCCTTTTCCAGACACACACACAGGCCGCTAGAAAGTGGAGTTCCCCCCGCCACACAGAACCTAATACATTTATAAGGTTTAGGCTAACCCCTTACCCAGAAAGATTACAAAAGAAATCCCCAGATGTAGTCAATCCGAAGACTCCATCTCTTATCTAGTGCTCCACATGCTTTGAGCAGCTGCATTTTTACCTAGTCATAACAAAATGAAGAATTTCAATGTGTGTATATGTTGTCACATGGTGTGTAGCTAAGGCATTCATTCACTTGTTCAGACATAATATTCTAATACAAGATTAATACAGGAAAAGAATTGGTGTCATAAGTACCTATGGTTCACTTTTCAGAATCAACATTGTCTGCTAACCTTAAAACAAAACAGACTAGAGCAGACTTTAAATCTTACTAAACTGCATTACTAACACATTTGATTCAACACATTGTCTAATAATTATCTAATTGATTTACTAATATCTAACACCTGCACGTTTCACTTAGCAGGCAGGTGAATTTTGTTTTATCAAGGCTGCTGATATTTGAGGGTTATACTGAAGATAAGAGTCAACAAGTAGGCTGAAGGGAAATGTTGAGTTTATAGTTTCATAATTTATCATACCACACACTGAGGACAGTCAGGTGAGAGTGTCTTTTGCAAAGCAGGATTTCAGTCCCCTTCATGTAGCTCCAAGGTTGGTAAATCCAACTGGTGGTCGCTGCGTCCCCAATCCCCTTCATGTAGCTCCAAGGTTGTGAAATTAATTCCAACAGGTAGTGTAGCACTGACAATAACATCATGGGTCATTAATCTGCTCGTTAACCAGCAACACATCACATGCTGCAGACACACTGGGCTCAAGCAGTCAAAACAAACGGGTACTGTGCTCAGTGGGAATCTAGCATTGATGAGCTGATTATTCACTACCACAGGGTGTTTCACTGGCCGGCTGCTTGTAGGTTAGACCCAGTCAGGTAAAACAACGAGTCCCTGTACATGAACATTCCTGGACATGCAGTAACCTCAGGCCCTGTATTTTTCTACGCGTCCTCTGATCATAGTGCAACAGGAGATAAAATATATCCACAAAACCAGGCACAGTCAAAAAATTCCGCTTTTAAAATGGCACAGGTGGATGTCAGGCAAGCTCACATGAACGCACAACTGCCTGGAGATGATGACCATTCAAGGAAACCTTTAAACTATTGCGTAATAATTAATTTTGTTAGAAAAAACGTCTCACGAGTGAGAGTTTGCATGACGTGTATAAACCGAGTTGCTTCTGCATAGAAATACTAGAACATATGTACCGTATTTTCTGCACCATAAGGCGCACCGGATTATAACGCGCAGTCTCAATTACGGGGTCTATTTCTGTACTTAACCCATACATAAGGCGCACCGTATTATAAGGCGCATGCTAAAACGTAACGGAAGCAAAACAGTGAGTTTAGTTGAACTTTATTCTACTATTTAACAATACACTCACATAATTTTTTAATCAATCTTCTCCCACAAATCCACTTCCAAACCATATATTCATTGATTTTGAATTCTTTCGCAGCTGCTCTATTCCCATTTACAACCGCATAACTGATAGCCTGTAGTTTGAATTGTGCCTCGTAAGCATGTCTCTTCACTGGTGCCATTTTCGGGGGTCCTTAGACCGGTTTAGACTGGTTTATTGCTGCCAGCGTACGTAGTGTACGTATTACGTCCCTGTGTCAGCTGGAAGTGGTCCGACGGTCAATCAAGCGGAGCGCTTACCAAAGTCGCACAACAACATTTTTACAGATTTTAGAACTCAGTGCACACATAAGGCGCACCGGATTATCATGCGCACGGCCGATTTTTGAGAAAATTTAAGGCTCTTAGGTGCGCCTTATAGTGCGGAAAATACGGTACACCTCATATTTTGAGCTTTAGGTCACATCTAAGATGATAATTCACAGCTGTAACATTGTATATAAGTCTAAAAACAAGAAAAAGCATGCCATGGGCTCTTTAAATTAGTACCGGCTCATATCCGTTATATACTTAAAGTTCCACATCTGTTAGCAGACCAATATATGCAAAATCAGTAGCTGTAGTTTAGTTACAGAGTAAGTGAGACTGGATTGTGCTTGCTAGTATTGTCATCTTTCTTGATGTTTAAAAAAACCAAGAAATCTTCAATGTAATTCATGTTCAGTGCAGCCTTCAGAAAGATTTTTGCATTATTATCTTGAGCTGGCCAGCAAACCCTCCTGCAAGCCTTCATTTAGCTCAGTTGTAGCCATGTACACTGCAGACTCCTCATGCTGCGCTCGCTGACAGCTGAAGTGTTTTCAGTACATGGAGAACTTAATTAAAGCATATTCAAAAGTTAGAGGTGGCAACATCAGCAGTGGATTTATGTTTGTGTCTCAGCTGGGTGTGATGCTGGGCAAACAGGTCATTTTACGGACACGTTGGCATGCAGTGTGAATGATGAGTATTATTAAATTTTAGCTCAAAAGCAATGAGACAATTGGCAGTAGATAGTTTTAATAATATACACAATTCAGTTTGTCAATGGCATTTTTAAATGGGTTATTGCATAGGTATAATACAGTGCATGTCATTAGCTTGATAACTAGCTATCTTCACTGTTCTGTTAAATATGGAGAATTGAATAGTGATTTTAGCTGTGATTACTAACAAGTTTAAGTCAGTCAGTTGATTTAAAAAACCCAGCATATAGATAGAGCTGGAGCATAGACTTGTGTTTTAGACAGCCACCCTGGTGCTGTACAACAGTCATTGGATAAGAAGGTGGACTTGGGGTCCATGATGTTAATAGCAATCTAAATATGGCACGTGTTGTGTTCACTAGAGCTAAATAGTTTGCAGTATGTTTCAGACCGCATGCTTATTTAGTTTTAATAAATGTTGAAATTTTGTTGATGGACATGGTTTTTCAATCTGAATGCTGTTTGACTGATTGCAAGGGCCAAACAGTGGTGGAATATGAAATCTGTAGTTGGTCATTTCTTTTCTTAGTCATTACTGGCAAATGGCATTTGTAGCTCTGGTATCACAGTAATATTTGAAATATACTGTGATCTGTAATTAACCTATTAAATATAATTCATCACCTGACCAGTGACGACAACAATGAAGAAATAATGACTGATGTTTCAGTTAATTCATCCAGTAAATCAGTTGAAGGCACCCTTTGACTATCAGTTAGCTAATGTCTTAAGTTAAGGATGGTGTTAAATGGAGCATAGCATGAATAAATAGTTTTCAATTTTACAGCAAAGTTCCATTTTCAGGAATTTTGAGAGGATCTCCTTTTGGAAGGATTTGCTTCATTTTACCCATTACTGATCGTTAGCTTGCCAGGCTAATGCTGCCCCTAGGCGTTGCATGTCCTACTTGAAGCACGTGACATTCATGCATGCAGACTGTGTACACCAGAGTGAGACTGAACTAAACCTGACTCAAAGTCCAAAAAATAAATTAAAATAAAAAAAAAAAAGGAAGGAAACCATTTGGGCTGTTTGGTTGTTCACAGTTTTGGGTTTGGGTAGCAGAACTGTAACCCTTTAAGCTGTACAGGTATGTCTGACTTTTATTCTTCCATTCTGTGATTCTTGTAGGCCTTTGTGAAAGATGTTCATGAAGGATCCGTCACAGTGGCATTTGAAAACAAGTGAGTAAAGCATGTACACAGCAAAATACAACATAGTGTTACCACATAGTGTTACCTTTGCCAGTGGTGTAATTCATACTGTATGTGTGTCTCTCTATGGAAGCTGGCAGCCGGAGCGTCAGATTCCATTTCAGGACGTGCGTTTTCCTCCTCCAACAGGGTTCTGCAAAGAGATCAGTGAGAGCGATGAGGTTGAGGTGGGACGAATTCAGTACCTTCAGAATTGTTTAAGAAAGAACATTAACATTACTACCAGACTTGGTTGATTTAGAAAACAAAGTTGGTATAGTTACAGTCCTGACTTACGGACCCCAGGAGATCCTTCAAGCTCATCATTTTCTAGTTTTACAAGGAATACATGCACTTGGTAAGACGGTGTAGGTCAGCCTTGTCACTATGTGTCTCCGGTTCCTATAGGCTATCTGTTGTTTCAAATTTAAAGCCCATGCAGAGCTGTGTAATTGCAATGTTGTGGCATTTCATAAAATTATGAAACAGTGGCAGCAATAATTTGGCAGTGACAGGCCGCTGCTGCAAAACATATATAGGAGAAACACTGGCACCCTGGGAGTAATTTAATTTTACTCCCTACAAATTAATGTGAAATTGCATTTATTCACTTGATAATAAGCAGTTAATGAGTAAAAATTAAATGTTTTGTTTTTAAAAAGTTGTAGAATAAGTAGAATGTTTTGTGGAATTAGCTGTGTGTGTGTGTGTGTTGCCAGGTATATTCCAGGGCTAATGACAAGGAGCCTTGTGGATGGTGGCTGGCCAAGGTTCGCATGGTCAAAGGAGAGGTAGGGCTCAGGCCACATCACTTCTAAGGCCCATTAACACACTCAGTGCACAGTAGACCTGGATATAAAGTTATCATTTACTGCTTTGCTAGATGAATTACTATCATACCTGCTTTCTTTGAGTTCTACAGTAATGCTCAGTTTCAGTGGCCTACAAAACACGTGATTTAGATTATGCATTAAAAACACAAACTGTCCATAAATGGCTCAGTGTAGATAATCCACCAAAGTATACCTTGACCTATCTGGAGACTAGAGTTACTGTACTTTCAGCTACTGAATGAGTGAAGGAGTGGCAGACTAAATTTAGGCCAGCCTGACAAACCTGTCTCACATCTCTGAGCTCTTCTCTTTGCTTCTGTTCCCCCATGCTAGTCTCTGCTCTGGTTTTATGCTTTATCTCATGTACTGTGTTTTTGTGCCTGTACAGTGGGTTGTCTTCCCTCTCACTCACCCTCTTAATTTCTTTCTTTGTAGAAAATTTCAGTTCCCTTGTTAAAATTGATGTTTATATTTGATGTACTGATACAAAGTTTTTGCCAGCCCTGCTGTTTCACATTTTGCTTTTACCAAACTGGATCACTCTGATGCTGTATTTGTTTGTCTCTAGTTTTATGTAATAGAGTACGCTGCATGTGATGCTACATTAAATGAGATAGTGACGCTGGAGCGGTTACGGCCTGTCAACCCGAATAAACCGGCGATGAAAAACACTTTCATAAAGATCAGACTGGATGTGCCTGAGGATCTACGGCAGATGTAAGTTCAGCCAAGACCAACCCGCATTCTTAGCTTTAACAAAAGTATTTTATTGGCCTGGGTGACAGTTGCTTAAGTCAATATAGTTGCTTAAACATAGGTTGATTATAAGTGGCACAGTGTTATGCCAGTGTAACAACACAATTTAAGAAAGTGTGAGTCACATTCCTGTATTTGTTTATTTTCTAAAACTCGCATGAGCCAGAGTTTAATAAGCCTTTAATAGAAATGGACTGCTGAGCGGGCTACTGTGTGTGCACACATATAGCGGCTTCAGAAAGTATTCAGATGCCACCACTTTTCTTATTGTGTTGTATATTTAAAAAATTGAAATGGATAAACTGCCAATTTTGCTGACCAGTCTACACTCAGCAACCTATAATGACAACGTGAAAGCAGCATTTATTTCTATAGCACTTAAACACTACAAGTCAACCAAAGTGCTTTACACAAAATAACAATCAAAAGCATTAAATACACAAAATAAATTAAAGCACATAAAAGGCCAACCTGAAACGACAAGGCTTTAGTTTAGATTTAAAAGTGCCAGGTCGGTAGTAGAGCAGATGTCAAGCGGTAAACTGTTTCCACAGTTTTGGAGCAGCCACAGTAAAGACACGGTCACCCCATCACTGACACCTACAATAGACTTGGGGACTTTTAAAAGAAGCTGACTGGATGACCTGAACACTCTGTCATTCTTACAGAACAATAAAAGTTCTGTTAAATAAAGAGCAACAAGTCCATTTAAAGCTTTGAAAACAAACATCAACAGTTGTAAATCAATTCTAAAGTGAACTGGAGGCCAGTGAAGAGATAAAAGAACAGGAATTATATTCTCACATTTGGCTGGGTTAGTTAAAAAGGAGCAGCAGCATTTTGTCCAAGTTGGAGGCCAGAAAGTGACAATTGATTAACTGCAACATACGCAGAGAGCATTGCAGTAATCTAACCGAGAACGAATGAAAGCATCTCAAGGTCCTTTTGGGAAAGAAAGGGCTTAACCTTAGCCACTAAGTGAAGCTGAAAGAAGCTTGATTTTACAGCAGAATTAATCTGTCAAATGTAAGGTCACTGTCAAACATGACTCCTAAATTCTTTACAGCAGTTTTGACAAATGAGGCTAGTGTTCCAAGATTTAAGTCTAAACTATTAAGACCACCAGAGGCACCAAATATACTACACTCAGTTGTACTTTGATTCAAATAGAGAGAGTTTTGTGACAGCCAAGCTTTAATGTCATGCAGACAGTCAAGCAGTGACTACTGAAAGGTGAACCATTACCCCAGTCTCAGGTCACGTGCACACTGGAACAGGTTTTTTTCAAGGACCTCTCTGCATTTGGCTGCGTTCATCCTCCCCTCACTTCTGACCAATGTCCCTGTCCCTTCTGCTGACACGCACCCTCATAGCATGATGCTGCCACCACTATACTGCTGCGGAGGGATGGTGTTAGACAGGTAATAAGCAGTACCTGGTGTTCACCAATAGGGATGCATCAACACCACCTTTTTCCAGACCAAGTACTTACATTTGAATAGTTGCTGATACTGATACAGTAGTGTTTCTGCTATAGAAATTACAGTCACCATAAAATTGCATTGGCTTTAGAGACTGTTTCTATTTTCATAAGATTTACTTTCTGACTGGGATTAAATAAAATATACTGAATAACAGCAGCCTGTGCATATTACCTTAAAACTGTCTGTGTAAACTAATACAGGGCTCCAGACTAACATTTCATACTGATGGCACCAGCTCCACATTCGGTGACAATGCCTCTGTTTTAAAGTGTAATGTAATGTAGTATGAAAGTTCTTCTCCATCTAATGACCTGCTCAACCAGCATGAGGTTGATCACTGTTTCCCACAGAATTACATATTACTTGTGGCATTAGCCAATGAGGTGGGGGTCACACTTTCATAAATTATTATTTTTTGTTTAATAAATGCAGTAGTATCTAGTAGTAGTCTGTGCTTGCTGCTGTTCATCTGACCTGTCGCTGCTGCACTAGCTGGCTCTCTATTTGCAGAGCATTCCATATAATACATCCATGCTACCTACAGCATGTTAACATCTGCAACAGCTGTATTAAAACTTATTAGAAGAGCTGGGCCTACGTAGTTGTCAGTGTTATGTTAAGAACAGACACAGAGAGGAGTATTATTCACAGAGGGTCTGTTGTTAATGTGTGTGTATATGTGCAAGAGAGAGAGAGCAGGGCAAGAAGTGGCTGGGTAAATCAATGCACTGTGCACAGCTTTTCACTGAAATAAGGTTTTACACATTTTAAATAGTAAAAGGAAAATCAAGAGCAAGGGAATAGTTAATTGATTGCAGATGGCATCATTGTTACACAGATAAAAAAAAAATATAATAATAAATTTGGGTTAAATTAATTAATGTACTTGGGCAGGCTGCCCAAGTAAAGTCTGCGTGTGCAAAACTACAGATGTGATGTTGCTGTTAAGTGGTATCGGTGTGTAATATAGGACTAGTATGAGTCCTACAGGGTGGTATTGGACCTGATACCCTATACTGTCATTGGTGCATCTCTCTTTGCCTCACACAGTGCATGGAGGCCTGTCCAGATAGAATCTTTTTGACTAACCATTGTGAGCTTGGTCACCTCCCAGACCAAGGCCCTTCTTGCCTGGCTACTCAGTTTGACTGAACACACTAGGAATACTTCTGGTGGTTCCAGACTTGTTCCATTTTACAGTTATGGAAGTCGCTGTGCTCCTGGGAACAGTCAGAGATTTAGAAAATGTTTTAACCCGTTGCCTTGATCTTTGCCTTACCACAAATTTATTATGGAGATATGTAGAGTTGTTTGGACACCATGACTTGGTTTTTGTCCTGACAAGGCAGGGTGGTGCTGCTCTGCTGGTGCACAGGCTCATGTTGCAGAGTCCCTTAGTGTAAATTGAACAGGTGTAAGAATTCATTTGTCCTCACATCAGTCCGAATTCCATCTGGTCAGAGGGTGTGTGAGATGACTTTTAAATTAGTAAACAGCTCTTTATAGGTACAGTCTTGTATGTGTGAATTTATATAGGTTGGTGCTCTGCCCATCTGGTGTTTATGGCATGGAGCCTACTACAACTTTCCTCATGAAGACATTAAAGTATATCTTATCTGACATGCACTGTGAATAGTGGGACCTTATACACACACGTCTTTCTAAACTATGTCCAGTCAATTCAGTTTTCCACAAATGCTCTCTAATAGAGCTGTGGACACGTCAGTGATAAAGAAAGCCCCATTTTGACCACAATCTGGAGTGCTACAGCAAAGGGTCTGAGCACTTCTGTAAATGACAGATTTCCGTGTTAGATTTTTAGGACATGAAATAACATGACTTATTTGTAACCCCTGACAGGTGCTCCAAGGAGTCAGCACACAAAGACTTTAAGAAGGCTGTGGGAGCTTTCAACGTAACCTATGACTCGGAGAAAAAGCAGCTCGTCATCTTGGTTGGTTGAACAATTTTTTTCAACTTGAGAACATAAGTGTTCTGTGACTGTCCATCACTCAAATAACATTTTACATAGATAGTTCAACTGTTCACCCACTGATCTGACAGGGGCGCCCTGTAAATTACGTAAAATAATGTTACATCACTTTGTAGCTAACCTCCATCGCTGCCATACTGTATCTAAAGTCAGATTCTTTGTGTGAAATAAGCTTTGGTTGTTGTTGCAGTCTGTGAATGAGGTCACAACAAAGCGGGCCAATATGATGAGTGACATGCACTTCAGGAGTCTCCGCACCAAACTCTCTCTTATACTGAGGAATGAAGAGGCCAGCAGGCAACTGGAGGTACACAGTTACATACACACACGTGCGCGCGCACACACACACACACACACAAATAAAGCTTACAGGCAACTACATCTTCAAATGTATGTAAATTATAATTTTGCAGTTAAAATTCTCCTTGTTCTTGTTAAGTTAATGAAAATTTTGAAATACCACCTCAAGTGTGAGCGGTTTAAAGTACACTCAAGAATCAAATGAAACGAAGCATAGGCCCAACCTGGCCCAGCGCTACACTGAGTTACGTACATAATTTCTGCAGTCAGAGTTTGCATTACAGCAGATGACAAGGAAATCAGGGCAATGGAAGTGTGCTATTGCTGGTTGTTGAGCAGATAAAACGTCTTCACAGTTCCTGTGGAATCTCTCTGGGGCTACACATGTTCTCAGTCGGTATTCTTTCACAGTTCACACAAGTGTACCTTAAATATCCAAATGTAATCTTGACAAATTATATTGACTTAATTAGAGATGCTCACCATTAACCATTAACCCACAATAAGAATTCCAGCCAATTAATACTATCAGTTAAACAGTTAAAAAAAAGATATATAAATTTTTGAAATAAGCTATAGGGCCTACATATCAATCAATTCATGGGGGCGCATGGTGGAAAAGACATGCTTCTCCAGCAGACAGGTTTCCCCAGTTTGGCCGGTCTAGCGAGTCACTATTTTTTGTGTTTCTGGGACATTGGCACCATCTAAGCAGTACTCTCCACTGCAGGTCTCATAGGAAACAGACTGCGAACCAGACTAATCCCACTAACCTGTTTATACCTTAGAAAGTCTGGCTACTATTCACTATTTATTTAAGTTATAAAATATTTTTCTACACGGGGAATCTAGGCTGTTTGCTTTACTTTATTCTCTGTTCCACAGGTGTGATGTGACGATCCATGCTAAAATATTTGTTGATGGCCTGTTTTTCAGGATAAAAAATGAGACAAACTAAAAAGTAATGTTTGACAACAGAACTATGTCTGTTCAAATTTAAAAAAAAAATCATGTGGACTTGGTTTTAGGTCGAAGACGTTTCAAATCAAATCAAATTTTATTTGTATAGTGTATCTCAGGACAGTTTACAAAGTAAGGTCTAGACCTTACGGTTATCAGTAATATTACAGAGGCAAAACCCAACAAATCCCTCTTGAGCACCTCTCATCTAGCGTCATCTCAACTAGGGTCAAATATTTTACATTTTTCATCAACAAAAGAGTAAATGATAATGTGAAAGATGAATGAAGAGACATGAAGTAACTTAGTGCTGATCAGTAAAGCTGTTTTTTTTCCACTGGGCTAAAAATCTCAGGAGCTGAATTAGCTGCTTGATGTGTTTCACTGCTGTTGATAAGATATCATCTTACATTCAGTACCAATCTGTCTTCTGGCATTAGCGCTTCTTGGAAGAAACTTTTTTTAAACCAAATTTGTCTACAGTCCAGAGAATTATGCAGAAAGAAAGAAAAAACCTACTGGGACAAACTAGGAAAATGCAGCAGCACCCCATATGAAAATGAAACGGTAGGATTATTAAGCGTGAAACGTTGTGGCTGTTGATGTAACATTAACGTTCTTTTCACTTGGATGTCTTTTGTGTTGCTATCGGTCAGTGCCAGGATTAATATGGCTGCTCGACCATTAATCATCTCTAAATGTTCACTGCACAGATCTCACTGTTTTGATGTTATCTGACGATTTAGCATCACCTCTCAAACTGAACCCTGTGAAGAGGATTTTAGTAGAGATGTGAGCCTATCTTCTGCACAGCAGAGGGACACTGTGTAAATAAAACACAGTTTTCCACAAATGTTACTTTAGATGGCAACAACACGTGTACCCATGGTAATTCCTCATGTCCAACACACTTGGCCAATAAAGCTGATTCTGATTCTTCTAATTGTAGGCAACCAGGGTGAAGAAGTACAGTACATCTTAAAAATGGCAAAACATCGTCTGCAATGTATTTAGTTTTTACTGACTTATACTTACAACTAACAAAAGACTAAAATGTGACGAACTATTATGCATTTTCCTCAAAGGACTAAGACAAAAAAAATAAGTGAAATTTAGGTATGGTGACTATGTGCGTTCTGTTCATGTTTGGTTGTTGTTTTTGCCACTATTTGCCCATGTAAAAAATAAACCCCTTATGAAAAAACACATAGTCACAGACACTTATCCATTCTAAAGAATGCATTTTACTCTTATTGGTTTTTAAGTGTTGGCTGTGCATCCCTAGACTTAATATGATAAGAACAACTTGGAGCATTTAAATATTAACTACACTTGTGATGATGTTTTAAGAAAAGGACAGTTGTAAATATGTTCTGTTATTCGGCTAAAGGAATATAGAGTATCTGTGCTAAAAATAAGCTGGAGCCCTCCAGATATTGAAGTCTCAGATGAGCAGGTTCCTCTACTTCCCATTCCAAATCAGACTGCGGTTCAAAGAGTGCTACATACTGTGGCACGTTCCAGCTGCAGCCATTACTCTAGGTAAAGACGTAGTCTAAAAGAATGTGGTTAATCAGTAGGTCATTTTTTGATTGGCTCAGGGTGAATGTGGGACAGCTCTGGGCAGTGAGAGTAGGTGGTCATGAATAATGCAAGTTTTCGGTCAGTAGCTTTCAAAACGGCCTGCTTGGAGGACAGAGGGGAATCGGAACCCTAAGGAAAGATGGATTTAGAGAAATCTAAACAACTTTTGATGACTAAAATGTCACATGTTTAAAATAAATAATTTATAAATAGGCCTTGTCATCAAGAATGCTTGCTCTTTTGTGGCACTGATACCTTTGTGTGTGCGTTTCTATAGAGTTCAAGGCAGCTTGCATCACGGTTTCATGAACAGTTTGCAGTTAGGGACGATTTAATGGGTCTCGCCATTGGGACTCACGGGGCCAACATTCAGCAAGCTCGTAAAGTCCCTGGAGTCACTAATATCGACCTGGACGAAGAGACGTGCACCTTTCACATATATGGAGAGGTAGGATGGCTTGAATAATACACAGGTGACATGTTTGGTCTGTCTTATCTCTGGATGTGCTAGCACAGACCTCAGTGTAGAGGCGTTTGTCTTCTGTGTTCTTGTTTATAATTTTATGTTAAACCCACTTGAGGTCCTGAAGTGACAGAACTTGGATTATGTTGGTTTTGTGTGTGTTTGTCAAAGGACCAGGATGCAGTTCATAAAGCCAGAAGTTTCCTGGAGTTTTCTGAAGATGTCATCAAAGTTCCCCGGAACTTAGTAGGTGAGAAAATCACTCTGCTGAAATACTGAGATTATTGGTGCAGTAACTTGAATTTAAGAATTAGCCAGATAATTCAACTTGTGTCAGTCGGTCTGTGATTGAGTAATGTTTTTGTGCTCACAGGGAAAGTGATTGGCAAGAACGGTAAACTGATCCAGGAAGTGGTTGATAAGTCTGGTGTGGTGCGGGTTCGTATTGAGCCTGAGAATGACAAAAAGCCCTTAGCAGACACAGCAACAGCAGATGAGGTCAGTGGGAAACAAACTTTGCTTTAGACTTGAAACCAAATCTCTGCCTTCTTCGCTGTGGCACACACCACAACACACACTTAAGTAGTATTTTTTTTTAATGGATTTGGATGTCAGGTTAGTTAATAAAAAGGTGCATGATGATGATGTTTATGTTGCTCATAATAATTAATCATAGAGGGGCTTTAAAAGTAACCTCTGATTCCAGCAATAAATATAACTGAGAGCTAGTGTTCTTATCACTGACTTTGATGTTCTATACCTCTCTCACAGGGAATGGTGCCATTTGTATTTGTGGGGACCAAGGAAAGCATCTCCAATGCTACAGTACTGCTGGACTACCACCTCAACTACCTTAAGGTTTGTGTTATCACCAGTCTTAACAACTTCCATTACATCCTACCTCAGATGTCTACATTTTAGACCAGTCCCCTTTCCCAGAATCCAGAACTCACACCAAACACTTTCGCAACAGTTTTTATCCAGTGACAATAAGACTGGACTTAAATGACCCATTCCCTACAAATCTGACAGAATTACTGACACCCTCAACTTAATATTTGGTAGCAAAACCCTTTGGACGAAATAACTGAAATCAGTCACTTCCTGTGGCCATCACTGAGTTACTTCCACCTCTTTATTAGAATGTTGGACCACTCTTCTTTTGCCAGCTGCTCCAGGTTTCTCAGATTTGAAGGGTTCCTTCTCCCAGCTGCTGTTTTGAGATCCCTCCACAGGTGCTCTATGGGATTTAGATCTGGACTCATTGCTGGTCACTTTTGAATCTCCAGCACATTGTCTGAAACCATTTCTGGTGCTTTTTGAAGTCTGCTTTTGTCCTGTTGTAAGACCCATGACCTCTGACGGACACCCAACTTTCTGACACTAGGCCCTACATTGTGCCCCAGAATTCACTGGTAGTCTTCAGATTTCATAATGCCAAACGCACAGTCAGGACTTCCGGCGCCTGAAGCAGCCTGAGTGACTGCTGACAGAACAGATAAGGCGCCAGGATTGATCAAGCCTAGTTGTTAGACTAGCTGCACAGAATAAACCTTCATGGTAACTTATGCACCAGTGCTTCTGTGGAACTGAATTGCAGCTAAGTTCATCCAGGATAACTGGAAAATCACAGCTTAATGCGCTATTTAGGTTTTGTGGAATATCCCCCTGGTCTCACAATCAAGAATTAGCCCTTATTCTAGTCTTTAGAAACCTTAATATGCTACTTGGAGTAATAAACCAGGATACTCCATCATAAAATAAATCATAAATAATATTTTTGTAAAGTCTATGTGGCTTCTCAACCATAATTAGTTGTAGTAGTTAGTCGTTAAAACAAAAATATGATGATGAACAATGCTTTGGTGATCTATACATTGAAATCAAAGTGAAACTTGATGGTAGTATTGGGGGAGATTTCATCACTGTCCAATCCCTGGTAGTCAAAAGCACATCTAGAGTAACTCAGTAGGAACAGAAATGACAAGTAGCAGGATGGAGAGAAAGCAGGAACATGTCTTCAGGATCAGAAACCTGGATACTCTTCATTATAAATGTAGCATATACTGTAGACATAATTTATACAAAAAGTTAAAAAAACAAGTTCCTACTTGTTGTGTATAATTATCAAAGTCTGAATACAATCAACCAGTATATGAGTGAAAGCATGAAGACCTGCTCCAATTTTTTCCAACTCTTTTTGTCCACAGGAGGTGGATCAGCTTCGTCTGGAGCGCCTTCAGATTGATGAGCAGCTGAGACAGATAGGAGGGGGAAGTGGAGGAGGAGGGCCTGGACCTCGAAACCCCAAAGACAAAACCTATGTGTTCGACAATGGCATGGGGCTGGGGATGGGGAGAGGGGGAGGTGGAGGAGGAGGGAAGCCCTACACAGGAGTGGGAGGAAGAGGTGGACGGGGACGAAGAGGGGGAGGGGCTGCTTTTGCCTCAGGTATGGTCAAATCAGCAATACACAAGTGAGTTCATTAAAACCTATTTAAAAATTAATAACATATTTTTAAATATTGTTTGTACTCATGCAAGGTTAAGATTGCCTAAAGCTTTAATATAAAATATGCATCTGAAGTGTTTGCCTCATACAATGCGCTCTGACTTTAAGTGCTCTCATTGATCTGGATGTGAAAGCAAACTGAGTTGGTTATTTAGAGGAATGGTAATTACTTCACTTTTTGTGCTCAGCGGTCACATTTCAGGGTCAAATAAGTGTTTGGATTTTTAATATTTAATGTAATGTAAAATACATGAAACATGCAGCTTGCACAAGGTCTTTTCCCCTGGTGATGACTTTAATAACAGTGAATCAAAGGTTAAAATCCGTGCTGTCTTTCTGAGGCAGCTAATAATAAAGTTTGGCTTGTGTACTTTGTTCTCCAGGCACCAACTCAGAGGCATCTAACGCTTCAGAGACAGAGTCGGACCACAGAGACGAGCTCAGCGATTGGTCACTGGCACCCGTCGAGGAGCTGATGACAGGAGGGGGTACCCTGCCCAGGCGGACAGATGGGAGGAAGAGACCAGGCGGCGGTGGGCCAAGGGGACGAGGGGGTAGAGGAAGAGGAGGAGGAGGGTATAAAGGTGGGTGGGAATTACTGTTATCATGATACTGCAATATTGATTTTTGATACCACTTTTATACCACAGGGAAGAATGGATGCCTGACTGAAGACATAAAATTTTACTTAAAAAAAAAAGAAGTGTAACAAAGCTATAACATGACAACAATGTACGACTTTTATTTCCTCAGCGAGTAGCAGACAACAGCAGAATGACTAGTATTTTTGGTACTTTAGTCATTTTGCTCACATGAATGAAAACTATATTCTTTTTGAGGTGGTACACATTAGGGCTCCATCTAATGGCTGCTTTAATAATCAGTTAATATGTTGATTATTTATTTAATTTGGTGCATAAAAAACATGCTGAAATCTATTTTCCACATTATGAAAACAAGCATGCGTTCATTTAAACAATGCTTTTGCAATGTTTCTATGCTGAGCATTATTAAAAACAGCAAATTATTTGTTCAAGAATTAAGCGTTTACAGTGTACAACAGATCCATATAGCATTAACAAAAATATTAAAATGTTTAATTTAAAATTATTTTCATAAAACATAGCATGCTAATGTAAAGAGCCCAGCACACATACGACTACTATACTATTGATAGTTTAAAATAAATCTGACTGTGCCTAAACAATCCTCAACACATTTACTGTTAGCCTGTGTGCTCTGCACAATCCCCATTAACTTGCATATACATCATCAGTGTTCCTGAACACACCTGTGTAACTTAGTTTTGCTTACTGTGTTTAATGTAATGCTTGACTTTTCATGTTTTCACATTAACACGAATGCAGCACAGATGCACCCATTATTAGTAGCTTATACAACCCACCATTATGTTCCTAAATATAATGTTTCTTACATTATTAACTAAAATTAACAGCTTAGTTTCAGGCACCCCTTCTTTTGTAACTCCGTCTTTCCTTTAGTTGCTAATGTACTAGTGCCATGCTGCCCCATACGCTCTTCTTTCTGATTGTAAAATAAAGTGTTCCCAAACTTGAGATGACAGGTCACCAACGTTTCTCTGCTGTAACCATGCTCACTACTGTTACTAATACATCTGCTGTTTTTATATGCCTCACTGATGCGGTCACCCAGCATTCTCACACAGCTAAGTGACTAGACCAAACTAATCGGTAAATAATTTGTTGCCAGCTTTTTATTATCATTTTTATTGATTAGTTGTTGCAGCCCTAGTGCCGTGTCCAAGAGCCTTTGAGGTTAACACACATACTGTGTGTTAAATACAACAGCATCTAACTTAATGTGCTAATTAATCTAAGTATTTTTCTGTCGACTGAATTTCTGCTGACTGAGATTCCTCAGTCCTTACAGCTCTGAAGGGGATTAGCTTAGCTTTGAGAATTACTGTTGGGCCAGCAACAGGACAACACACAGTTGACCCTGTGGTCGCAACAACCTGGAGCTGAACACACTCAAAACAGTGGAGATGACAGTGGACTTTAGGAGATTGTTGTAACCACACCACTGGGCCAGCTGTTCATCCTCCCATTTGTGCGCAGACTCGTCCCCGTCCTGGATGAAGCCGAAGACTGTTGTATTGTTTGCGTACTTTAGAAGTTTAACAGATGAGTCCCCAGAGGTGCAGTTGCTGGTGTAGAGAGAGAAGAGCACTGGAAGAAGCACACAGCCCTGAGGTGCACCTGTGCTCACTGACTAGGTCCTGGATGAGGTTTTCCCCAGCCTCACCTGCTGCCTCCTACCTCTTAGGGAGCTGATTATCCACTGACAGATGTGGGCAGGAAGAGTAAGCTGGGTCAGTTTTGGGTGGAGGATGGCCAGGACGATACTGAACGCTGAACTGAAATTCAGCTGTGGGTTCTGCAGGTGTGTGTGTGTGTGTGTGTGTGTTAACTCGCTGTCGGAGAAGAGAGAGCAAGAAAGTGCACCTTCTATTGATGGTAATGATTGTTTAAACATTTTTCAGATATTCAGAATCGCATTGAAAAACTGCATTAGTAGGAATTATCACTGGCTGTCACTCCTCATCTCCGTAAGGATTCCTCAGGGACCTCATGTCATTCAAGATTTTTCTAACAACTATTTTTGGAGCATTGCTGGATATGCACATTCACAGTAAAATATTATCAGTGGAAAGCTTGATGAGCCTTTTCTTAATCAGTTATATTGTTTTTCTACAGGTCGATTATAGATGAAGCTAATTTTGAAAATAATGAATGGAGATTATCTTAATTGAGATGGTAGGAAAAACAAGAAGGAAGAAAAAAATTTGTAGTGAATTAAAATTGATAACAGTTTGAGATGTTTTTTTTTTTCCTTCAAATTACAGCCTGAAAAGTGGAAATGAATCACTAAAGAGATCGTTGCAGATTGTCGTCCTGATATATTTTCATTATGAGTGTTTGCTTTTCAAGGAGATCCACATTTATATTAAGATAATTTTCTTTGACATAAGTCTAATTGTGGTACACACAAATGTGAACTCAGTTTTAGCCTGCTTCCTGCCAGTAAGCTACTCACTTTGAATTGCAGGAACATGTGAAGGTTTTGACTACTTGACAGTTACGTAATCAGTGATGTTTGTTTCTGCTTTGTCACTGTTTTGTCTTCCCATCAAGTGGTGGGAACAAGGCTGATGCTGATAAGTTGAGATGCTGACCTTGTCTGTCCTGGTTTAGGTGAAGACATGCAGTGGAACGAGCCAAGACCTCGCCATATCAGAGATCCCAAGACAAGAGTGCAGGAAGACACCCTACAGGTGACATACACACACATTCATCTTTAAAAAATAATGCTAATCCTGAAAATGCCTTGCCTCTTTTTAAATGGATGATAAAAAGGCACAGGTAACTTATTTCTGGTATGGTCCCATCTGATGTCACTACTGATCTTTTGCCAAACCCCTGCCTTGTACAGCAGTTGTCCAGTCATAGCTTAGCAAATGTATCCAGGCAAGTTTGTTAAACTTTGGATTTCTCCACATGTGGAAGCAGTTTGATTGTAATAGGAGCGATAACTGGAATCTATTAAGTTGTCATACTTCATTCACTAAGTGACTAGGTTTGTGAGGTCTAAGCAGTAATCCCCAGTCGCTGTGCTGCAGGTTGAGCAAGGTTATTAAATACTACTGATTCCTTGCTGATGAGCCTACATGAAAACAATTTTTGTCCAGCATTTCGGCTATCAGTCAGCCTGGTGAAGACCGTGTTTTCATTCTGCTGACAGCTTTTCTGACGAGACGCTACATGGAGGTTGGAGTAATTGTGGATTGAACGGATCAAACACTGAAGCCGTGCATATGCGGCGCTCATGTCCAGTGAAGTCCCAATTTGAAGTTAGTAGTGGGTGAAACCCAACATCAATCCTTTAAGTTGTAGGCTACTAGTAACTTTAGCCCAAAAATGAGCTGGCTCTTAGCAAAACAAGTGTGCATGAAGTCCAACACAGACATCGCCAAAGAGCGATTCAGAAATAAACAGGCTACAAATAAGTCACATACACAAATGGCAAAGCATGTGCGCAGTTCCTCGGTTAATACTTCAGTTGAGATATAATAGCCTAATTACCATCATCATCACGTTGACTGTGAGGCTATAGAGCACTGCAGTGACTACATAAAGAGGTGGAAACTTGTTCTATAAGTGATTTTCCCATTTACTGTGTTCCATAAGTTTCCCCCTCTCTGAATTTCATTATAAATACAGGCTGTGCACATTGGATGATAAGGTTAGTTAAAATCATTTATGAAAAATACAGATTGTGCATTATGTTGTAAAACAGAGGTGGTGCCACCTTCTGAGAAACTTAGTGGCACTAGTGCCACCAATATGGAATGTTAATCTGGAGCCCTGCCGCAGTACCACATACCACCCCACCCCGCCAAACCTTCCCAAGGTACATGGTCATGAGATACATGTAGAAAGGATGGGAAAACTCCCATGACTCCTGCTGTAATCTTGTGAAGGTAAAGACTTTCTTCACTGTTCCACAACCAGGTCAGAATCTGCATTGCTTTTCTTGGTTCGACAGTTGGTTGGAGTCCCCTTTCCTCTGTTCCTGGCATAAGCTTTTCCATGGAGGTAGATCAACATGATACCCCGATAATTAGAGCACACCCTAAAACCTCGCTTTTTAAAAATGGTAATCACTCCCCCAGTCAGTCCACAGGCACTGTCCCCAACCTCCATGTGTTACTGAAGAGGCATGCTTCTCATTTACGTCTGGCACCATGCTGCTCAGGAGCTTCTTAACTTGGACACTTCTGCCATCACTGTAAAAGGCTTCCCGTGAGTGCTGAAATTCTCTCTCCTAGGAGACATGTTGGTCAAGTTAAGCAGTTCCTCAAAATATTCTTTACAGAGAGAGCAGGTAAAATAAGGTTCTCTGGTCTGATGAGACAAAGTCTTTGGGCAGAACACCAAACACCATATCTGGTGAACAGTGGCCACTGATCATCACCTGTTAGTACCATCACTATGGTGAAGCATAGTGGTGGTAGCATCATGCTGATGGGGGGCTTCTCAGCAGCAGTGACAGGGCGACTGATCAGAACTCAGGAGGAATAAAATAGAGGTCCTTGAAGACAACTTGTTCCAGAGTTCACATGGCCTGGACCTGAGGTGACAGTTCACCTTTCACCAGTGTTGGGGAAACTACTCTGAAAATGTAGTTTTGCAAACTCAATTACTTCACACTGGAAAAAGTTAAAGTACAGCAAAACTACTCTAGAAAGAAGTGTAGCTTGGTAAACTAAAGTTACTTAGAAAAAGTATTTCAAACTACTAAGGTTTTGAGTTCAGGACTTTTCCTAGTACCAGAGTAGCCTCTTTCTACACTGTGTTATTACTACTGAGCCATCTTTGGGTTGGCGGTGTGATAGGCTGTAATTGTATTGTCATTGCAGCATCTTCTGCAGACCAATCAGTAGATTTCTGCTTCCTAAATGTTGCTGCTAAATGCAATGCTGTTCCACCAGTGCACCTGTCCCTGCATAGTTTATGCTTCTGGTTGATGTTTTAGGAGTGTTTCGTGTTTAAAATTTGTAGCCGAGTCAGCAAACTTTTCCTGCAAATGGCAGGCCTCACTGAGCGCAGTAACCTACATAAAATACATGCCATTCCTTTCTTTGCAATATCTCAGCCCCCTGTGTGATCATGTCATTTCGAGTAGGTCTTTGCCCTTTTCATCACCTGCTCACCAGCTGATTTCCTGTTAGTGGCGCTGGAGGTTCTGAATGATCCTTTTTTTAACAAATTAATCATTAGTTCATTTCACTCTTACCAAAGACCTGAGCCTGCTTGTGAACCGGTAGATGACATCCTGCACAGATTTGTCCCTAAACTACATTGTTATGGCAACCATAGCCTTGCAATAGCCCCTCGTGCACGCAGGCACATACACATATGTGTAACAGTTTTCACTCCTGCCTGGTGTGTCACGATATATGAGGATGTTGGGGAAAACAAATGGGGTGGCATATTTGCAAGTTGCACTGGTGCACCTAATTATAAAATTTAGTTGGGCTGTAGCTAAAATAGTGGCAAAACACAACTGAATGGTCTGCGTCTGTTTATTTTAAAATGAGTGTGAGGGAACAATAAGTCGGACAAACTCACAGATGTAACTTTAGCTTAACAAGCTAGGTCACTACAGCTGTCATTTCAATAGGCAAGAGTGATGGTCACTGGTTTGACATGAGAACCCAATTTTTGTCAACATCTGTGGGAAATCAAGAACCCACTGTCTGAAAGTTTTGCTTCGATATTCAGGTGGTAAATCTGTTATCATCATCATCATTGGAAATCTCATGTACAGTGTGAAAACATAAAGCTTGACAGGCGCTGCAACAGTAACTGATTGGGTGGGGTTTTAGGAACAGCAAAAGCATTTTTCCTTTCTATTTGAACCTGTGCACTGTGGGACTGGACTGTACCTGTTTGCTCATTTCCCTCAGATCCGTGTGGACGGTAACAACGAGCGTAGCGTGCAGCACTCCTCAGGGGGGCGAGGAGGAGGGCCCTCCTCATCCCAGGGTGGCATCAGTGCCAGCGGTGAAGGCCAGTCCCGCCATCACCATCAAAGACCCATCAGAGACCGAGGGATGAAGAAGGATAAACAGGATGCTCCTCCACTGGTGAACGGAGTGTCGTAGATACGCCACTGGAGGACCTTCTCACTTAGGCACACGTACACACATTCAGAAGCATACACACAGGCAACGTCATAAACCATTGTAGATTCTGTCTTTTTCTTTCTCTTTCTTTTTGTCAAACATAAATACACATATTTCATCAGCACAGAAGTTTCTGGTAGTGAAGTTATAGGCCAGAGGTGATCAGGCATCTTCTGGTTTGGTTTGGTTTTAGCTGGTATGGTATCTTTTGTTCTTTTCTGGAGTGACATAAAAGCAACTTTTTTTGGACAAATGGAAAAGAGGAGGATTTGACTAAAGCTCTTCTCTCAGAGGCATCCCAGTCATCCTTTTTTTTTCTTTTTTTTTTAAATCAGCCAAAGTGGATGAAATTTTCTTTCCACCACACTGTTTGGACTTGCTCACATGAGAAAAAAAATGAGTCATACAAATTAAAGAAGTCACTGGTTCCTATACAGAAGCAACATAATTACAGCCACTTCAGAAGGTGGTTGAAAATGTGTGTTCCTTCTTTTAACATTTTAAATGTGTTTTACTGAAAGTGGGGAATGGCAGAAATGATCAAACAGCACACGGTTTTCTAATTGTGCTCCATGGTTTCCCCACAGGTTGAGATGTTATTTTTTTTGTGGTCTAAAGCTCCAAAATCCAACACCTGGGAGTCTCCTGCAACACAGCATTGCATTTATTGTCTAAATACAATATACCAAGTACTGAAAGTATTTAGCATCTTTCAGGTGCATTTCCAGAGAGACTTTTCAACTTGTACAAAAAAAATAGCTTTTTCCGAAGGGCCAGGTGTACTTTGGTGTCCCCTAGATATTCTTCTAAAAGAAACATTTAGATATATGTGAATTCAGACTGGCAGAATTTGATAGGGGTTGTTTTTCTTCTTTTTTCTGGGGAAATTGAACACTGGTGACCGTGCTGACACCTAAGCAAATTACACCTGCCTTTGGTATTGGCAAAGTGAAGAGCAGTTCAAAGTGTACATGCTCCAGAATGAAATGTGAACAGGTATGGGCAGTTTTTTTTTCTAGCAGTAAATAACCAGAGGCGCTCTTGGAATGAGTCAGCAAATACTTATCTCATCACTGAAGTCATCTGTGTTTCATTTCCTGTTGACTACATAGTATAAATTTCCTTCAGTTTCTTTGTCAGACCAAGCTCAAATTAAGTACAGGAGGTACCGATGGACATAACATAAATCTGAGGCACACTGATGCAGATTAACTGCGTAAAACAAAAGTATTAACTGAAGCAAATGCAGATCAACTCCCAAGAGGTACAAAACAGGGTCCGGGTACGAAATATGAACTGTTGTCCTACAACTAGAACACATGACAAGGCAAACAGTGACACACTGAGGATTATAAATTCAATGTATGATCACCAGAAACACACATAAAACCCATATATTCACTGCTGTTGTAAAATAAACAGTGACTCATGACTAAAGCCTTCAATTCAGTCATGAATAAAAGCTTTGTGTTACAGAGAATCTACAGTGTCCTCTGATCAGAATTTATGGAAAGCCTGTTTCAATTACTACTGTAGAAGAAGCAACTGAGTTATACCTAGACAAAATAAAAAAGGTTGGTGCAAGTTGTATTCTTTCAACTTATTCTGGGCATCTCCCTTTTTCTTAGACATTGTGTATATTAATCTTTTCTTTAATGTTGGTGACCTTTTGTAAATGATAGGGTTGAAGCAGGAGTCTGAAATCTGATCTAAATCTTTGAGGTAAAGGTTCCATATACTGTTGTAGTCACTTTGTGCTTGTAATCTTCGTTGGACCACAAGTATCAGGTCTTGTTTTGTGAACATTCTTTTCTGCCACTGATAATTTAAACTGTGCATTCCTTTAGTTTCTGTTTTTATTTTGTGAATCTGTGCATGTCAGCAAAGTCACAGTGAAGTTTAGTGAAACAACTCTAAGCCACAGTATAATCAGGTTTGAAGAAGCAAATTTTTATCCAGTTCAGTATGGCTTCTTTGTGAAAGGCTCTCTGCGCTAACAGCAATGTGTTCGCCGCAGTCATTTAACTGCAGATTGTCGGTCTCTCTGCCACTCTAAGTCATAATAAGGCTATATATTTGTGTGCCTTGGATTTATGTGTCTCTGTTTCTTTGAATATGGCCCATTCTAAAAAGCACCTGGCTGCTAAATAGATTTAAGCTTTTTAATGCTGTCTGTTTAAACACAGTGTAACACCCCTTCTTTTTTCTTGTATGCTTAGGACATTAAGTGCATGAGTGTTCTTTACTTGGATGATTCATTCTGTGATCCTGTATGCATTTCTTGAATTCTTTTGTGGTTCTAAGAGGACTTCAACAAATTCTGGTCATGCATTTTAATCTGGAAGAAGTCCAGTTTGCTGGTGTTCCTGCAAACCTATTTGCCTCATGGTGGACCTCTATGACTTACTGACATAGATGTAAACAAAAAGAGAACTAGACAATCATCCAAGATGGCTGAAAGTGACTGTCTAACCGGAGTGGTTTTTTTCCAGGCATCAAAAGAACACCAGACAAAACAGTGTGTTGATTTAAATATCTCATTCTGAGGTGTACCAACCTGCTGTCACCTCAGAGTTACTGGCTTGATAAATATTCTGCATGAAAGTTAATTAGTGGCATCATCGTCATAAATATGTACATTTTAGGTGGCGTGAAGGCCTGTAAAGATCATTTACCCTCTCAGTTGACCCAAAATGTGTCCTAAAATTAAACTGACCGCAGTAACTTTGATGGGCTAGTGTAGAAAGTATTGTGATTAGGATTGAAAGGGAGAGAGACATAGTTTGTTGGGATGTTTTTAGAAAACTTTAAGTTGTTGAAATATGAGAAAGTCACTGTAAAACAAAAATGGTTTCTCTGTGCATTCATAGGCTTAACAGTTCAGAAAAATACTGTATTACATCAAATTACTGTAAACACATTCAGTATCCAGCTATATGCTGAGACAGGAAGACAAGCACTGATCTTCAGTTTTAGTGTTGCTACTGTATGTGCTAATGTGGTGGAAACAAGTAATTCGCAGTTTGAATCTACTCATTTAAATGTTTTACTCTAGCCTTGTAAAGTTGGGCCTTGAATTTAGCTTCCCTCATTGTGGTACCTTTTTAAAGGTGTGTTTTGATATTTCTGAACATTTGCTTATTCACGTTCTTGCTCAAAGTTAGACAAGCAGATTGATACCACTCACGTGTGCACTAAATATGAAGCTAGAGCCAGCTTAGCTTATCTGACAAGTGGAAATGACAGAATAGCTAGCATGAATTGGTCCAAAAATACCAAAATCCACCAACAAGAATTGTTAAAGCTCACTAATAATGTTTTATTTTGTTTAATTTTTGGCCCAGTGGTGCAATTTTTAGGTTAGCAGCTTACCCCTTGCTTGCTGCTATGCTAAACTCACCTCCTGCTGACAGAAATGAGAGTGGTATCAGTTTTCTTACCTAACTCTCTCTGTAAGAAAAAAAAAGTGAATTTCCCAAAATGTTGAAGTTTTCATTTAAAATACTGCTTTGATTCAGAGTGTCAACCATTAGCATAGCATAAAATACTTTTTCAGTAGGTTGGGTCAACTTTAGTTGGTGGGACACAAAACACATACAGGGTTTGTGGGGAAAAAACACAGCTTGTCAGACTTGGAAGGTGGGCTGATTTATCTTTTGGAAAAAGAAAGCTGTGAATGCTCAAAGAAACCTCACCATATTTAGTGTGAAATGTGCCTTTAATTCTGGTGAATATCACAGCCTAGCCATGAAATCAGGGATGATGAGACACTGATAACAGACCAGACATTACATGGCGGTTTTGTGAAGTGACATATTAACAATGAAGTGATATTATTCACAAAGCTGAGCATTTCTGAGCTTCCTCAAAACTCAAAGGGCAGGTGTTCGTTACATGGGTGACTTTTGGCTCTCCAGGAAACCACCTGTTTTATCAACCTGATCTTTTTTAAGCACTGAAGGTGCTGTATTCTTGTACAGTTGACAAACATAAGCATGCAGCTTGTGACCTGGCTCAATTGATTTGTAAAAATACATTCAGTTACTTCATAGATCAGTGCAGGTCATGATCTTGAATGGCTAATTTGGGACCTTTGGCTCTGTTCCCAGATCTAAAACAGCCATTTCTTCTTACAAATCCCCATTTTAAAAATGTAATCTTGAGATGAGAACGGTGTGACCCAGTGTGACTTTATTCCCAGTTTCTTTCCTTCCTAGAAAAGGAAGTAAGGAAATGAAACTAAGATTCCATATGTTTTTTTTTTTTTTTTTTTTGGTTGCTTTTTTTGTTTTGTTTTTTTTAATCAACACTACTTTGTCTCATCTCTCTTTGACTTGAGTTAGACTGGAATAACCAGTGAAGAGTAACATTTGTCAGTGCATGAGATGATTGTCAACTTAGTCACTACATGTGCAGAAATTTTACATTACATAAAAAATGTTGCAAGAAACAGGTGTGTAACATGAGTTTTTAAGTCATGAAACAGGCTTTTTATCAAAGCTCATTTTTCTTTTTCCAAAAGTCTTATTGGTGTCAGGCTCTTTCTCACTAATCTGTTAGGATCTTTGCTTTCACTTG